GTAAGGTCGGCTTGAATATTCAATATTTCGTAGTTTTCACGTTCAAATCACGAGCTTGCTATGGTCCTACTAAGATCTTGCTACGATTCCGCTCTATCCATTAAAATTTGTAGTCTGCATCCATCAAGGCAATGAGCACTAATGAAAAAAAAACTGTATATGAACCAAGGATCCGCTTTAAGGCGTGCTTTAAATAGCAACATGATTTCCATTGAGTGCGCCACAAGCTTGTGGCATTTTTCATCTTTTCTGAAATTCTTCGGCAATAGCTCGCCATTCATTTGGTTCTGTTGGAGAATAAAGATATTCATAGTATTGCGCGCGACTCTGAAATCGTACTGAAGTGTTGGATACCTATCGCCAGAAGCTAAGTGCCTTTAGCTATAGGTAATAGCAACTTTCAGACCGGAATTTAGTGTCTTTCTGAATCAAGACCTACGCTGTCTAATGTCTTCTCTTTCTTCTTATAACTTAAAGTGTAGCCTGATCAACCAATTCAATACAGTTCAGCTAAAATAATAAAGATTGCAGAATTAGGTTTTGATCAAGTGTGTCCATGTTTGAACTACAGGTAGACGTTATTGCATCAACATCATGAGGTCGTGCACTTATAGTGGCAAGGGCGTAGTAGTATCGTAGGACGGCAAGCGCACATAAGCATCATACTGTTGTCTTTCTCATCGTAGTTTAATCGTAATAAAGATCGTCGCAGTGAAATCGTAGTAAGGTCGCAGCGAAAACTTTTCAATTGGCTTTGCGATTGCACAACGATGCTTCTACGCCCATCTCGATCTTGCATGTTGGATATCCACGATCATGAAGACCTTGTCACGTCCTACTACGACCTTACCGCAACCATCCTGATCTTACTTCGATATTCATAATTTTTCATAATTTCTAAGGTTGTAGCGGGATCGTAGTCCTAGTGTGATTCAAATATTTATATAATTTATAACAAACGGTGACGGATTGACAACGAAGTTCCTTTATAAGTATTGAAAAGAATATATTGTTAAAATTCAAATGCTTGAATGCACATTATTTTCTTGTTGGATTTTACTTTATAACGTAGGAATGTATTGACTCAACTGACATACACGTGACAGTAAAGAAATAACCTCTTACAATGCTCAGCAGTGTATTCAACTATAATTTTTTTATATCAAATCAGCGAGATCTAACTTAAAAGCATCATCAAAAGTATAAGTATTTCTTTTTTGATGATTTAAATATATTGAGCCTTGAACTTTATTCAAAATTAAATAAATCGAACTTTGAGATTTAAAATGAATTAAAAGAGATGTGTGGTAAACGTCAAAAAGACAGAAATTTAATGATGCACAAAAATTCAAAGGACATCTACAAATCAGCAAACAGTCGTGAACATTGTCAAAGAGTATATACAATGTCAAATCAATATCAATCTAAATCGCTTATATCCGAACACAGATTGTTGTTAAGGCATTCAATAGAGACTATTAAAGATCTATCACCAACACCAACTTCTCCATTTGTGGTGAATTTCTCCAAATTTAGAAAAAAAATCAACAAAAATATGAAGGTACGACAATAAACTTTCACAAGCTTCGCTACTGTTATTCATAGTTGTAACGCCCCTGTTTACCTTTATCAGTGGATTAACAAAAGATCCATAGAAGAAAAAAATAAGATTTAGTAAACACAAATTTACTCTATAGTAACAACACAACAGATTAAAAAAAAACAACATATTCAAACAAAATAAGAAAACTATTATAGCCCAACTGAAAATGTTCACAGTTCCTGCAACCTGATGATTCAATCCCTTTCTAACTTATGCTTACAGTTTGTTATTATGTAATGTTGTTACTCAACTGTCAATGTTCAAGGAGGGTGCAGCGTTTACAACCATGTTTTACCCCGTCACACTCTTTAAAAGACTTTCCCTTTCCTGGAATGTGTAATCCTTTGATTGTCATTGGTTGGTGTCTGTCACTTTTCATTCAACAGAGAAATTCTGTTTTTGCTTGATACTTATCGGGTGGGGCAAACTCTTTTCAACTGATTTTTACGGTTAGCTATTATATTGTGTTGGTACTTCACTGAGCTATGTTAAGGAAGCCTTAAAAGCCTACAACCATGTTTAACACTACCACATTATTTATGTGACTATCACAAGCTATGAACCTGTAATTCAGTTTTCTAGTTTTAATGGACCAAGGATCCTAATATAATTTATTTAGCCCCTGAAATGTTGCAAGACATAGTATAATTCTTTTATCCTTTCTGAATATGAATTACGGGTAAATAAAAATGATAATATTGTCCGATTACTTTAGTACTAATATGACATACAATTTTCAATTCAAACATACTGTTTAAAGATTACATAAAGTTTAACATTTATATTTACGCGCATATATTTTGTTTAAGACAATGCCTTATTAACATTTGCTTTTGATATATAAATGCTTTCAGAAGTATGTTAATACATAAAACAAGTTATGCGAGCCGAAAGAATCCTAACAACATCATGTATATCAACGCACATCTGTCCCAGAGATTGAAATGTAACAAAATGCGATTGTAATATTAATCTCTCACGACGACTTCAGAATGTAATCTTTCTTTCATTGTGTCTGTATAATTGGTTGTTGGTACAATGCAGAATGTTAGATATGCAAGCGATCATCATTTTGATAAATTCAAATATTATTAATTGCAAGTAGAAAACCTAAATAAATGAATCATTTTCTATCGATCGTTATCGCATAGTTCATGTAAATCCACATATAGTATAACATTTAATAAAAGTGAAATGATATTATTTATGTCAAGATCCCGGTCACTTTATTAGAATTTATACTATATAAAACTTTTATTAAAATAATTTATACGCAATAAGGGTGTAAAATTCCTTCTAGATATTTAAACAATGTATTAAATATTTAAATCCAAATAACGTTTACACATATCATGGATCACTTTTTTTTTATTTGAGTCTTTTTGTAACTTGTAAAAATATATCCTATTCAATATTTCATAACAAGATTTTAATTATTTTGGAACATTCATTGCTGTAACAATGAATTGACACATGACCAAAAAGTCCATGTATATATTAAGTCCCTGGGACAAATATGGATTTATACCAAGTAATACACCGGGAAGTCTTGTTCGTTTGCAAGCAATACTCCCTGCTTTTTTTCTGATTGAACTTAAGTGTATGTAATTTTGATCAGAATTTGTAGCTTTCCCTTCTGCCTTTTTTATGCATTTGTTGTTATCTAAACCGTACAAAGGAAAGTAATTTGAAGTAATACACTTTTGTTTTTGTTATGACACATAACGTATATTCATTTTTATTAGAACCATTACGTGTCTATTTTATCGGAATTTCTATACTCTTTTTTATATTCTTGTAAAAAGAGTTTCGGATTTAGAAATCAAAACTGTATACTATTTATACCAAGATTCTGTTCATTAACAATAATGTCTTTAATATAAATGTTTCTGGACGCTGACCACTTGTAAAGGTTTATGTCATGAGGGGATAAAAACCTACGAGTCGAATACAGATAGAAAACAACAAAATTACAGATAATGAAACAAAAAAGTATGAACATTACTCTACCAGACATCGAGGTTAAACTCATATTTTCTAGGAAGAATCGGTCACTAATTCATCAATAAAAGCAGATGATTGCCAATTTGAAATCGAATTATTGACTATCGTTAATAAGGCCTAATTTCATTGTAGATAAGCAAATGTCTTTCGTCTTGCACTAAGTGTACGGTATTTTTAAAACCTTTGAACACCGGAACCTGTAAGTGTTCTAACTCGAGCGTATTCAATTGTGAAAAGGTGAAACTATGAAAACACACAGTGTCTCAATCGTGCAGTAGACAAGACAATGACATAACCAGAAATCCTACGCTGATAATTGGAAACTAAAATCACAAAAATAAAGCACAGAATGTAGGCTTTCCCGTTTTAAACACAGTTCTGATTCCACTTGCTGTACCCACATGTTGCTAATAGCAACATATTTTAGTCGTTACTACGACTAGGTAATCATTTAAGGTGTCTTTATTCACGTTTAATTGGGAAGACGCAATCATTCAGTGAGAACACATCATCTTCATGTAGATCATGCAGATAGCGCAACATAAAGTTGAACAGATAATTATAACCGTGTTTCGTTGTTCTTTATAAGACTATAAATGACATCCGCCTATAAATGCTAAACACAGCTGGTTTCAAAAAGAATGCCGACTGTCTGTTGAAAACACGTCCACCAAAGGTAACAAATATACATGTATCATCAATCAACACCAACTGATGTCAACCTTTTTATTGTAATGGGTAGTTTTGTACAAGATATGATTTGATTTGTCGTTAATGGAAGATGGTCCTTGTTATTCTGCGGTTAACATGTTGTAACGACTATTATATTATTTATTTGTGCGTTTCTCTGTGATGTGAGTGTTCTTGCGTTTGTTTGGGCTGTATTTCTGTCACACAGTGTTGTCATTTTAGCGATATTTTTTAACATTACCATATAAGCGGGAGGTTTGGCTAGCCATAAAACCACGTTCAACATTTTTCGTTATTATTGTCTTAATGTTTACAAATGTATGTTTATATCTAATAAAAGACGATATTTCAGCACAATGTGCAATGTCTTATTAAATAAAAATGTGATAGATCTCGTGATATATCAAATAACATAAACGCTGATATGTGACATTGTTCGACTGGTGTCATAGAACATCTGTTTCAAAGATGACGACGGATATGTTCCAATTGTTATAACCCTAATCCCATTCTTGTGTTTTCGAATGTGACCCACCGGATTAAACGTATCACCGGTTGGGTACTTACATGAACTGCACGACGGGCCTCACATGTGGAGCACGATCTGTTGATTCTTTCCCGAGCGCCTCTGATCAACCCCGTTTTTTTTTGGTAGGGTTCGTGTTGTTCAGTCTTTAGTTTTCTATGTTGTGATGAATAAGAATAAGAATAAGATTATTTATTGAATCCAATTGAAGGGCCCGTTTTCGAGCATATACATAAATATATATAGTATTATGTATACAGTATTTTTTAAGATATATTACATTAAAAATAAATGATTGAATAACTATACTCCATACCAGTTGGTGTTTGAAAATAAATAAAATAGAATATCAACCCTCTCCAATACATAAAAATAAATAAACTACATCACTACTACATGTATATTTAGTTAGTTACTGGAATGCAAATTTTCTCTTATTTCAAAACAAGTACTTATAAATCTTGACATTGACATATTAACATTTTCAGACTCACACGACATTATCCAAATAAATTGTTCATACTTTGAAATATAAGGGAAGTTTTTACATTAAATGCATGATTCATTAAGAATAAAATTCCGTTCCTTTTCATATGCAGTGCATTCCATTAAAAAATGAAACTCGTATATTTTTACACTGCCCACAAAATCTTTTATCTTTATCGATTTTTTTTTTATATCTACCTTTCTCAATAGCTAACTGATGAGCACTGATTCTAAATTGAGTTAAGCTTTTTCGATACTGAAATTTATTAACTTGACATAAATATGCTTCCCATTTGAAGATGTTTTTAAATTTAAAATAAGTACGCAATTTTCCTTTTTTAACATTTGCATTATCTTCTATAGTATTTTTCCAGTAAATCCTATATCAAAATATTTTTAACCTTTTCAATGTCAAAACTTTCCATATAAACATCAATACATCTTAAAATATATAAAATATTAGAATACCAAGATGACTTATTACATTTGTGAGTGTCAATACTTGTGAATATGGCTTGTTTTAACAAATGATCCTTTTCTAAACCATTAATTCTTTGTAAAAATTTAAGAATAGAACAAATGATTTCAATGCGATGTGTGTACTGTTGTTTGTGTTTTCGTCGTTTTTCGTTTTTGCCATTTCGCTGTGTGAGTTTGATCGTCCTATTTGTTTTCTTCCACATCTCTTTTATTTCCCTAACAGAAGTATGATAATACTGTAACATCATTGTGTCGTGTAATATACCACTCTCAATTCATTTGATTTGAGCTAAACCATCTGTTTCAATCCCTTTCGGATTTTTTTTTCTGTTTACAAAATAATACAAAATATTTTAGCACATACGTATGCTTTGGTTTAAACAGCAACCAACAAGTCCAAACGTGTTTCACAATTAAGAATTTTACACACAAAGAACCCTAATAACTTCTTTATGTTCGTGAACACATATGTGTCCAAGAGGTTAAAATGTAACAGTAATTATGCAATAGTGCCCTTTGAATGTTCTCTTTTAAAATGTACTATCACGTAGGATATAATTTTGGTTTCAAACATTTTTTCTGGATATTTGAATATTTGTACAATGAAAAATGAAACACAGTAAAGCCAGTAGCAAATATAAGACAATTATCAAAAAAGGTAATGATGTAACATGGAGTTATGACTTGAACAAGCAGATTAGTTTATGTCATGTATTTTGTGTATCTTGAAAGTTTGTGCAGTGCTACATTTACTTATTTAAATTGTAATCCATGTATGAATTAGTCATACATTTTCAAGTTTAGCTTTTGGACAGTTGTTATTAATGCTGCTATTATGTGATACTATAATGAATATGTAAGTACTAATCTAGATTGCTAATAAGAATTGTTCATGTGCTATTATTAATTATTACACTATAGTATGTGCATAATGTTCTTCAGTACATTGTTCTTACTAGTATTTGAATTCAGGATAAGTTTTCATAACATTCATTCCATATATATACTTCTAAAATGTAGTCTGACTGCAAATAACTAAAAATATATAAAGGAAAGCCTAGAAGATGTAAATTTGAACGTCGATAGGCAATACATGTATAATAAACAAATGTTGTTTTCCAGAGTTTGAAGCATGATAAATAAACATAGAATCATTTTCCTTACGTCATGTTTCCCATCTGAAACTAAAAAAAGAAGAACAAAGGGTAGATAATAAAACTTGTTGTGTTATATAGAACGGTTAAGTTAATAAAGAAAATGACATTTATTTCTGTTTTATTTTACAAATAAAAATTGACGTTATTTATATTTCCGTTTATTATGTTATGTTAGGCAAAAAGTTAATATAATAAATCTAATAGTATAAGCTCTCCAATTTGGAAAGTGTAGTGTTATAAAGCTTCTAGTAAACTGTTCTCCAGATAAATAAATGAAATAGTGATGTCATAGAAAAAAAAATTGAAATGAAAAAAAAAATAAGGAAAACAAAAATATATAAAGCGAAAGATTGTACAAGGCTGACAAATGACATGAAACGTTCTTTTACTTTTACCATAGAATTTGTTTTCATTAGATTTAAAAAAAAATGCATTCCGTTTCGGCCTTTAATTCTATTTCTCGATTGATTCGTATAACAAGCAATCTTGGATGTGTTTCAGCTAATATCAAAATAATTCGCAGAATAAAAGTAAATACCTTGTCGGGTGCTTGTATTTTATCATGACTTTTCCTGATATCTCGACATATAAAATATACCGTAATACCAATTGGAATCAGTAAAACTAATAATGTAAAGTCTGAAAAGGTAAAAGCAAGGTTGATAGCACAACATCCTAATGTATACAAATATTAAAGCATAACACTACTACGTCAGACTTGTATTACGTTGGATATTACCACCAACGGTTTCATTGTGTTCATTAACACTTGTATGCTATCAGTTTCCTTTCCGTTAAGATATTAATATGGTCATTAATGTTCTTTCCAGTAACAATTAAACTACTGTAATGAACAGAGCGACGGGACATGAAAGTGTATCAACAACACAATAAGTCAAGTGAAGAAATCGAGTGATCCCGGTGTACGATATTAGTTTAAGTAAAACGCCAATGCTATAAAACAAGCTCTATCGCACTCAATTCTATTCGGAAAAATGAAAACAGCACGTTTTAAAGTTAATGCGTCCGATGCGCTTTTCTGAATTCCTTCATCAGGAACGCTCAAAGCCGAATATTTGAAAGCCAAGGATGTATAAGAACTTAAACAGTTGAAGAGCTATATAACCAAAAAGGTTAAGTATCTAACATTTTTAAAATTTATAAACAGACAATTTTAGAGAGGTTTGTTATAATCATGTCAGTACCGAATTACTGACTACTGAGATGATGATACCCTCAGGGACTAGTAGTCCACCAGGAGAGGTATCGACCTATTGCTGTAAAATATGAAAACAACATGTTATAAATTACAAGCATCCGAAGCGCTTTTCTTGATTTACCTACATCCGGAACACCCAAAGCCGAAAATTTGAAATTCAAGGATGTATAAAAGTTGTAAATAAATTATAACAGTTTATATCAATTCTTTACCGATATCAAACTTAAAAACAAGCATATGAAAGGAATAAACGAGTTATGGGGGTTCCTAAATATCAAAACAAATTGTATAAACATTACAAGCAACAGCATCAACTATTTAATACCCTTCAGTAAGTTTATTTCTATTTAGAAATGGCCCATATTGTCCACTTAAGACGCCTCTGTAAACGATATGTTTTTTGATTGCCAGGGAGATTGCTATATATTACAATTCACATGACGTTGATATTAGCAATTATCGATCACCATACGCCTTCAAAATTGAGACAAACCATATTGTTAAATACCGTTTAATTAGCTGTAAAAAGCCCCGACATGAAAAATGTAAAACAATTGAGAGAATGAACTGACAAATTTATAACAATATCATAAAATCATCATAATTAATACAATTTCAAGAAAAACATATGACAGACATGTACCAACGGCAACAACAACTATCCTGACTTTGGACAGACACAAACGGAATGTGGCAGGTTTAACCATGTTTATGAGCGCTCAACTTTCTCTAACTTGGAACCATATGGTAACAGCGTAACAGAAGTACAAACTATACAAATCAGTCTCAAGTGATTTCATTTCATAGAACGGTACGTAGCACAAAATAATAAAAAAATAAAAAAAAAAAAAAACAAAAAACAAACGAACAATAAACTTAAAGCACCTATATCAGAGAACATGTTATTGTAGTAACTGATTGCTAGATAAGAGCCAATTACAACTTAGAAGTCAATAATTTTTTTCAGACAATCACATCCAACGGATATAGTGTAAAGACGTCGTAAACGGTATGAGAAACGAATCATCTTGCCGTCATCAACGCTCTGAATTGCATTCACATATATTAGTATAATATGATACATTAGAACATATTAACACATCATGATATTAAAACAATAATTGATACTTAAAAACATATTGTTTTGTTACGAATTTCCCGTAAAGATTGGATATACTTACGGGTACAGAATTCCGTAAGTAATGAAAAATAAATGAATTCCAAAAAAAGATCAAAAGTTGCAAATACTTTACCCCTCAAATATCAGTAAGACAACTTACATATAGGTTTAAATTTACTATTAGGAGTTAGAGGTTTGACAGATCGCACTAATGGAGTCGTCGTATATAGAACTGAATTATCAGGCATGTTATATGATGATGTAGGTTGAATATCATATGTGGATGTTGTAGATGGATAAGACGACTGTATCTGAAATGTGTTTGTTGGAGATATGAGGCTGCTCTGTGATGATGGTTCTACAATAGATGTCGATAATTGTATCATAGTTGTTGGGCATAGATTTATGTCTGTAACACATTCTCCATTATCGCATTTATGCCTCCCTTCAGGACATGGTTGTACAACTGTACCTAAAATGTAAACGATTACTAAATTGTAATAGAATAAATAAATAAAAATAAGACGACACATTCATTCAAAATATAAACAGAAGTAAAACGCATTTAGAAAGATATAAGGATGAAATAATCATAATTGATCAAACAAACAAATCACATTGCTCAAAAACTAAACAACAAATAATGGAACAAATAAGAATCCACAAAACACTATAGAAAAACTTGCACAGTATAAACCCCACAAAACATCAGACATAAAACAAAAATAAATCGAATTGTTCCATTATAACACAGACAAAATTATATAACTTTTTTAAGAGACACAATTATACAAATTATTGTATCCTATAGGTTTAAAGCCTGTCGTCAATTTTCCAATTAAAAATGGAATCGTGTTTTCATTGTTTACATTCATCCATAACCTCCAATAACAAATGAACAAATTAAAATCCAAACTACTACCATATCTAAACACAGGAAAAATAACTATCGCAATCTTCAGTTAACTTACAGTTAAATTCATCAGATTTATCTTGGCAATCAAAGGCATTGTCACATCTACCTTGTTTAGAAATACATTCCCCGTTTGTACATTCAAACTCGGTTGTATTGCATGCTTCAACTGTCTACGAAAAAATCAAAGCAAGAAAATATTACTAGGAATTCATTGTTTTCAAAATGATATTCTTGTAGATATTTCAATACACTTTATTGCTATTTGTCCGCCATTACTGGACATCACAAAGGTTCCCATAAAATTTTGACGTCATAATACAAAATATCTGACGCCACAATGGAAAAGTGATTGTTGTATGACGTCAACGGTTGAAGCGGGACATATTCTCAGGTCACCCGGAACAGAATTCCAAATAGCGATAAGGTGTATTATTTTAGATATATTTTATTTCTGAATAAGCAATTATTATTGTGTCTTTTTAATCTATCAAATTTGTTAAGAAAAAAAACAAAACAAATAAGGTTATTATTATAAATATAATACATGATTAGTTTTACATTAAACATCACCTTTTCGATAAGCTCATCCATCCGAACACTTCCTCAGTAGGTATGCAGTCGTGTGTACTTGTATCATTTCATATCCAATTGTATAAATGAAACAAACCACTTAAAAGGCAGCAGCCAAACCATATGTGTATGCTTTGGTAACCCTGTTTATCAATTATGAACCACTGTGTTGACCAACGTTTTGATTCAATTTATTGAAGCTATATGTCTCCAGATTATGTCTTTATATGAAATATTTGCTCTTAATAGAATACATGTATGATTAGATTTTTCTAACCGTTTATGTTTAAGCTTAAAATTAGAGGTATGTCCAGTGCACAATGTAGTGGCGATATCGCCGATATTGTCAACTTCGTTCATGATTTACACCTGCTCGCAACATTGTCTTACTTGTTGTCTTACTTGTTGTCTACATCGTTGATATCGCCGACATCGTTCTTCTTGCTGTCTACATCGTCCCCTTTCCTGTCTACATCGTTGACATTGTCAACATCGTGATGTTGACAACATCGTGACGACATCGTCTACATCGTCTCCCTTTCCTGTCTACATCGTTGACATCGCCGACATCTTGATGTTGACAACATCGTGACAACATCGTCTACATCGTCCCCCTTTCCTGTCTACATCGTTGACATCGCCGATATCGCGATGTTAACTAAATCGTGACGACATCGTCTACATCGTCCCCCTTTCCTGTCTACATCGTTGACATCGCCTACATCGTTTTTTTAAATAAAGAAGTGTTTAGTTTATCAATTTCAAATTCAAATAATGTATTTATATTACGCCTGTGTCGATGTTCTTGATAGTAGAACTTATTTGGACAGTATTTTTACTTCTTGTCTTACTTGTTGTCTTACTTGTTGTCTACATCGTTGATATCGCCGACATCGTTTTTCTTGCTGTCTACACCGTCCCCTTTCCTGTCTACATCGTTGACAATTGTCGACACCATGATGTTGACAACATCGTGACGACATCGTCTACACCGTCCCCCTTTCCTGTCTACATCGTTGACATCGCCGACATCGTGATGTTGACAACATCGTGACGAAATTGTCTACATCGTCCCCCTTTCCTGTCTACATCGTTGACATCGCCGATATCGCGATGTTAACAACATCGTGACGACATCGTCCCCCTTCCTGTCTACATCGTTGACATCGCCTACATCGTTTTTTTTAAATAAAGAAGTGTTTAGTTTATCAATTTCAATTTCAAATAATGTATTTATATTACGCCTGTGTCGATGTTCTTAATAGTAGAACCTATTTGGACAGTTTTTTTACTTGTTGTCTTACTTGTTGTCTTACTTGTTGTCTACATCGTTGATATCGTCGACATCGTTCTTCTTGCTGTCTACACCGTCCCCTTTCCTGTCTACATCGTTGACATTGTCAACATCGTGATAATGACAACATCGTGACGACATCGTCTACACCGTCCCCCTTTCCTGTCTACATCGTTGACATCGCCGACATCGTGATGTTGACAACATCGTGACGAAATCGTCTACATCGTCCCCCTTTCCTGCCTACATCGTTGACATCGCCGATATCGCGATGTTAACAACATCGTGACGACATCGTCCCCCTTCCTGTCTACATCGTTGACATCGCCTACATCGTTTTTTTTTTAAATAAAGAAGTGTTTAGTTTATCAATTTCAATTTCAAATAATGTATTTATATTACGCCTGTGTCGATGTTCTTAATAGTAGAACTTATTTGGACAGTTTTTTTTAATGTTTGCAAATCTCTATCCTCCTCCTTCTCCTCCTCCTCCTCAACATCTTTGCGATGTTGACATTATAGATTACGTTGATTTGACATTGTCTTTTTCGCAATGTCGGCAATGCCAACCATGCAGAGACAAGATGATGAAAGGATATCGACAAAGTAGTACAACACAATGTCGACATCGATGTATTCAAAATTAACAATGTAAACACGCGATATCGGCAATGTCAACGATGTAGACAAGAGTATGAAACGATATCGACAACGTTGTACAATATCGTGTCGACATTGTCTACTTCGCGATATCGTCAATGTCAACGATGTAGATTAGAGTATGAAACGATATCGACAACGTTGTACAATATTGTGTCGACATTGCCTACTTTGCGATGTCGACAATATCGGTACTACTTTGTACACTGGACATGAATGTAAAATTACGCGAATGTGTGTCATTCTTACATACTTAAGTATTTCTACATGTAGTACTTACAGATAGATGAACTGTAGCTATCACAAACAATGTGCACTTGGATATTAATGTTTTCATTGTGATCTCTGTGGTCTTATATAGACATTCACATATAATGATACAAAGTTTCACCTAAAAATAACAACAACAACTACAACAATAGTCTATCAAACAGGTATCATTTATCGTAGTCATATATTGTGTATTTGTTTCCTTATATTCAATACATTGTAATATCGTACAAATGAAAGACCTGTAAAGCATTTAACTTCTCGCGTATTCTTAAGTATTAATCACTGTTAATAGGAAACGTAAACACAACTTTTTTCAACCTTTGACGGTTCTTTTCTTTCAACAAAATCTGGGTTTAAAAGCGGAAACAAAAAACTAAAGTATTTATTGAATTACAATCGAATCCAATCGTCGATTGTACCAAAGAGTAAGTTAAAGGTCTAAATATATAAGATATACTTTTACATACTTTTACGTAGTTATCATAAATAACTCAACCTGATTATAATAATGCGTTTATATTTCCTTCTATTTCACAACAAGGTACGTTTGTTCATGTCATTTCTAAACACGAAATTACCCAAAATGTAGGTCGGTACATTCTATCCAAATCAATATTTTAAACCAACACAGATATAATCAAAATAGGAAAATCCAACGTAAAGTATTCATAGCTAGAATGTTCTGCTTTGTTTGTAAATAGAATAATTAAATTATAATGTTAAATATTGTATACACAGTTAGTTGTCTGTCACCATTTAAATTCAATACCTATACGGGTTTAGGTTCAAAGCTCACTTTACCAGTTTAAGGTAGCACAATACAATAATATATTCATGTGTTTGTACGTTATCTGGAATATTTCATTTGTTGTTGTATGTCATATCTTTATATTTGTTTTGAAATTTTGAGAAATTGGTGTTTATGACAGATCTTTTTGATATTTTCTATTCAATTTAATTACAACTAATAGACTCGGAGCGGTTTAGTGCTTGGCGCATTGTTCAGTCTTCTGTCAAACTAAAATTGAAGACTGTTTGTTGGTCTTTAGATATATTTATATATAAAAATAATAAGATTAGGTATGATTGCAAAGGAGACAACTGTTTTTAAAGTCTAAATGAGGCTGATATACATAATGATAGATAGTATTTGTGTGTGTTTGTCGTCGGGCTGCTTGGTCATTGACGTATACACACACATCTTCTTGTATTCATTAATAAAGGATAATAGTGCAATGCATTCATCATCTAGTTGTAGTGTTAGATTTGTCATATTGGAAATATAAGACTTATGACGGAGTTAATATGTCCATAACAGCTAAGAAACTCATACACTGTAAACAAAAAGTAAGACGACATCTACCAAGGATGGAATAAAAATAACTAACGTCGAAAAAGGACAAACATTATCGTCACACAAGAAAAAAGATAAAAATAGAACTGCCCAAAACTGTTCTACATGTTCTATGAAAGAACTGTCTAAAACTTTTCTAGGAGAGAACTGTGGTCTAAGAAAAGGTGTAACAAAAATACCGAACTCCAAGGTAAATTCGAAATGGGGAAGTTCATAAAATATGACAAAATCAAACTTTATCAATCAACGGAACGAGGGAATAAAACTGTTCAAACTGTTCTATAACAGAACCGTCCAAAACTATTCTAAAGAGGGACTGACGTTATCTGTTTTAAACTGAAACTGTCATGATATTTTCTAAGTTAGAACTGTCGTAATCTATACTAAATTTGAACTGTCCAAAAC